GGATTAGTTCATTATCAAGACACTGCCTTCAGAAAATAAGAGATGAGTACCCTTTTATCCTCACTGCACTTTAGATCAGTGATATCCAGCCTAAGAGAGCCTCAGGGCACAGGTTAGGACTCAAGTCACAAAACTGGATGGGCAAGTTACGATGGGGCCAAGGGAGGAAACAGAACCCATGGCATCACTGGGCATCTCTGCTGTGCTGAGGGCTTGGAAGAATGAAAAAAGTTGCGTATCACCGGACACATGCCAAGTGATCCAGAATTGACAGCCCAACCTTACTGGGAAAGTAAGTCTGTATGAGAACCAGTTTATGAAGTGGAGTCCTTTGCCCTCAGAACCTCTCGTCCATCCATCAGGGGAGCGAGCAGAACACTGCAGCTCTGTCTTCAAACCAGACTGCACTCAGGGCCAGGAGAGTAGATCAGAGAAGGAATCAGAAAGGCAAACACGTGTTTGTGGCAACTCCCTTCTCTGTGGAACTTTGCCCAGATCTGGCCCCAAATATAGGGTGGCCACAACTTCTGTCTCAGGGCAGCATCCTGCTACAGCACAGTCAGGTCCAGGAGTGAGGGAAAACTGCCCACCCAGAGTAGATAATATCTGGAAGGAATGAATATTTGGGAAAAGTCCCAGTGTTAGTTTAGGGCCAACCAGTCTCCACCTTCTCTGGCCCCCTCCCACTGGTTCCTCCCATTTCAGCTGCTCTAGTTCTTATAAAAACTCCACAGCCTTTCACGGACAGCCTGCAGGAGCCTCTCTCCCCTCTGCTGCTGCGCAAGCCAGTGAGACCAACCCACAGGACCACAGAGACACCATGAAGAGCCTGCTCCTTCTCTCCATTCTGGCTGCCTTGGCCGTGGCAGTTCTGTGCTATGGTGAGAAACCTTTCTTCTGCCATGCTTCTGGTGTTTCTTTCCTGTCTCTGATTTCAGTTTACTTCCATTTTTTCCTCCCCCTCCTCCTCTTCTTCCCCCTTTCTCTGATATAATCTTAAAGTATCGTTAACTTAACATTTCCCAAGCCCTGTGGACACTGATTCATTCCATCAAGTGTTTTTTTTACATACTAAATATCCAGACTTTCGTATACAACTTGACAGGCATGTCCTGTCTCTGGTAAGTCACTATTCACCTAGACACTTCACTGTTTCAGAAAGAAGATATGAAATTCCCAGCCCCTGAGTTCTCATGTTTAGGGATGTTTACTTCTACGTTGGGAACTGTTGGTTAAAGGTATTAGTTAAATCACTCACCTTTAAGAAAATCAGTTTTCACATGAAGTGTTAAGTATAGCTCTCTCTGCAGGGACAAGACAATCTCCTAAACTTACTACATTTCTTCAGTGAATTGATCTAAAAACGAAGTTTTACATTTAAAGAACCTCAGAGAAAAATAGACGGTATAATTTCTATTGTCCAAAGATAAATTTCACCTGGTTTCTCTATGTTGTTAATTATATCTGTGTCTGATCAAAGCTTATGAAAGAAAATCCAAAGCAAGATTATTTTTGATCAGTCTTACGCTTCAGTTATCTGGATATCTTAGATGTTCTTAAACCTAAATCATACTAATAACCATCTGTATTTCTTCTCACTCTTGAAATTATTCACATGGTTTCTGTACCAGAGGATTTGGTATTTTCATCTCCTTTTTAATTTTTTACATAAAACCACTTGCTTACGAATATAAACCTCTTATTGCCAAATTTACCTGCAGCACATGGGAGAGCAGTGGAAAGAAGAAAACTTTTGCCTTGGCATCATCTCAGTTCTTTCTCTGAACTGGCATCACGCCCAGTGTGAGTTGTCCTCTGGAGCCAGTGGTTTTGTGCCTGCCAAGTTAACACAGGTCCTTAAGAGGCTTTAGGAACCTCTTAAAAACCTGTCTTGGTAAAGCCCAACTGACCATCTCCCCAGTCTGCCTGGAGGACGTTGGCTATTTTCTGGACCCTTCTGTCCCTTTCTCAACTCTGCTCTTAGCCAGGTCCCAAATTAATCAGAAAAGATGCCTCTCTGGAGATTTGTGTGCAACATCGAAATTATCTTATTTCACTAGCCTGAGGACCTCATAGCCCTTGAGAAATTTCAGTCAAGGCCGTGACGACTAGCTCCTTCAACATCAGCAAATCTGAAGTGTAGAGATAATTACACCAAGGACAGAGCTAGAAACACAACTTGCAAATCCAAAATGCCTGAAATTTGTAATAACCACACTGCTAAATATATTCTTCACATCTTTTTGACTCTTTTCTCTCCTTCCTTCCCCAAATGCAGACCATTGTCATGTCTGATAAATAACAATCAAATGAATTTTTTTTATTCCAGAATCTCATGAAAGCATGGAATCCTATGAAATTTGTAAGTGAATATTTGACTTCCTTATTTAAATCTCATGTATTAAAGAATCTCTCTCCCTAGTCTTAAATAGACAAAATGATAATACATTGAGGTAATATAGGGAAGAGAAAGAGGGTCTCTTTTGGAAAACTACGTTTAAAAATCTAATGACCGTAAAAATCGCCAGACGAGCAATTTTTTTAAGCTTGAAATAGCATAATATGGCCTTGAAAGTGCATTCGACAGAATAGGAGCCATAAAATCTCACTTGGAAATTTTAAGTTGGCACCACATCAACCACACAGATGGAAAACAAGGAGTAACAACAAATGGCAGAGTAAGGAATTAGAGGCCTAGTCAGCTGGGAAACCGCAGTCATCAGCATTACATTGAATGTTACTGAATATCTGGACTTTCAAAGACTGAGTGTGGGAAGAAGTAACGTAACACTCTCGTTTTCAGTTTTTCACTATTTTCATAACATTGACACTGTCCATTTCCAGTAATCAAAAGTCATGCTTTACAAGCATGTCCCTCCTCAGGACAGAGAGAATTTCTCCTCACAGGAATTAAAAACACACCGAATAGGAACACCAAAATTGAAAACGGCAAAATGATTTCCCAAAGGGGAAATAAACAAACAGAAATTACTGTGGCCTATGTAATAAGTCTCTAAAATACATACACTGCTTTCCTTTGATCAGGCAGTTTATGAAATTGGCTTTATCTTTCCCTTTGACTTTTGTAGATCTCTAGTTACATGGAATGCATGAATTAATGAGTTTTCAAATATATATGTGTCAGGGACTATTCATGGAAATATTTTCAACTACTGTTTCCCTAAAACTATAATTATCTTTTTTTTCTTTTAAGATCCCTTCACTAACAGGAGAAATGCTAATACTTTTATATCCCCGCAACAGAGATGGAGAGCTAAAGCCCATGAAAGGTGGGTAACAAAACTTGATGGAAAGAGGTAATTTTTCCCAACGATCGGAATGGAATGAGAAACTTTTTTTTTAATCATATATATTATTTCTAATTGTGCCCCCTAAATCAAAGAATTTAAAAACAGTATACAGAAAACAACTGAATTTCAATAAGACTAGTTTATGAAAGACCCAGAAAGCAGAGGGAGGGAGAAGGAAAAGGAGGACAGAAAGAAAATTTCTATTTTTATTAAAAAAAAAAAAATTACTCCTGTTCCACCTTTCCTCCCTGTTAAGTATCTCTTAATATTGGGGTGTGTCTCCTATATTTTCTCATTCTTTTTTCCCCCTTTTCCTTTTTTAAAAAAAATTTCTATTATGTTCTCATTTGGGGCCTCTTTTTTCCCCCCACTTTCTAGGATTAGAGAAAGGACCAAGCCCACCTATGAGATCAATCGGGAAGCCTGTGATGACTTCAAGCTTTGCGAACGCTATGCCATGGTTTATGGATACAATGCTGCCTACAATCGCTATTTCCCACAGCGCCGAGGGGGCAAATGAGATTGGAAAAAGTCTCTTTCTTTCCAGAGGCTGGTGCCTGGTTTTGTATTCCTTTGCAGTAGCATCACTGAACTATATAAACACATACAAACTGCTTATTTCTTAAACGTTCTTGTCTGGCTGCAGCCCTCCTCCCTGCCCCCAGATTGATAAGCAATGAAAGCGAAGCATAGTGAAAGTCAAGAAGGACTTAAGATGTGTAATTATTACAAAATAAACTGCTGGTTGGATACTTTCATTTTGTGAGTCTGATTTCTTCCGGCAAAATGCTGAGATATTTAAATCATGGCCCACCTAACCCAGAATATGAGATTCTGTTAATCATGTTCTGGTGTTGATTAGAAACATAACTGCATAGAAAGAATGAAACTTAGAAGGCATAAGTCACCCAGCCATAATTTGTCTAAACTCTACCTTGGGACTGGTGAATGATTGCTTCTTAGTATTTCCAGGGTTTTCAAACATTATAGATAATCATATGATTTTCCTGCTCCCAAACTTTTTAAGTTTTATTTATTTAAGTAGTCTCTATACCCAGTGTGGGGCTCAAACTCACAACCCTAAGATCAAGAGTCACATGCTCCTCTGACTGGGCCAGACAGGCGACTCTGCTCCCAAACTTTAAATGGTCCTAAATCCTTCCTGTGTGGATTCCAGGTTCTATCTTGGCTCATCACCCTCATCATAATTTCCTGAGTGTTATCATTTCTTAAGATGTCACAGCTTTGACTTTTACTTAGGCCAAGAAAATGTTTGCTTTCACAATCACCAGAGATTTTTTAACAATTCAATCATGGAATTTTGGAGCCAGACAATACGCTATAACTCACTTAAGCCGGGTTTGTCAATGAGAAAATGAGACTCCAGAGTCTCCCGCTTGGTAGTTAGAGACAGAGCCCAGGACTTCTCAATCCCTGTTCAGAACTTTCTCTTCTTTGCCATGAGAACTTGTTCATGCCCACCTTTATCATCCATTCCTTTTGGTAGGCCCACTGCTTTCATGTCTTTAGTGGATGATCTTTCTAATCCTTCAAAATCCAGCACAAAACCCAAGCACTTTATGAAATCAGTAATGATTAAATCTACCCACTTCCTATCACACCACTCGAGCCAGTGTCTAGCCCTTGAGGAATATATGTAAAGAGTCAAGTACAATAACATTATTCAATTCGTTTAAAAATTTTTAATGTTTATTTATTTTTAAGAGAGAGAGAGAGAGAGAGAGCACAAACTGAGAAGGGACAGAGAGACAGGGAGATACAGAATTTGAAGCAGGCTCCAGGCTCTGAGCTGTCAGCACAGAACCCGACACAGGGCTCAAACTCATGACCCGTGAGATCATGACCTAGCCAAAGTTGGACACCTACCCGACTGAGCCACCCAGGAGCCCCTTATTCAATTCATGTTTTGATCAAAATTTCTTTTTATATATATTTTCTTGGCTAACGTTATGGTAAGAAACTGTAATTTCTTTTCTCTCTACAGACTTGGTACTAAGTTCTGTTCATAAAGGGTTTTCAATGAAAGCTGTATAAACACAGACTGACTAGTCATGCCTGGGAGGGATCCCCCAATTTTGAAACTGTTACATTCATCATAATAATGTGCGTTATATAATTTAAACCACCATCATATAAATGTAACGACGACTGTTTTATCATTTTCTAAGCTATTATGCATGTGATAACTCATTGGGTCTTACAATAGCCCAGAAGATGAGTAGTATTTATTAGATGGTAAAATTGAGACTCAGAATGGTAACTTTCTGAAGACATTGTAGTGAATGCCGTGGTGTATTACTCAAGCTGAGATATGCCCCTGGCCACCAGATATATTGACAGCTGATGGTTCCCAGCCAAGGATTTGAGTACAATTCCCTACAGACCTCTAGAGCTCTCTCTTCTGTGCATCTCTCTCCTCTCTGGTACTCTTCTCTGTGATCACTAGCTACCTTTCTGGACTCCCAGCTCTGTCTCCTAAATTTAGGAAGGCCATAAGGCTTTGCTGGGTTCTATTTTCTGTTGCATGTTCTGAAAAGTCTCCAAAAACTTGGGGCAGTTATAGGACTCATCCTCATTTGCATCAGTGTCAAGGAGTCCAAAATAAAGCAAAATATAGGGGGAAAGGGGAATAAAAAACTAAAAGGGACAAATTGAAAACAAATGGCAAGATGATAGACTAAAACCTATCACACTAATCTCATTATACGTAAACAATCTAAATGGTCTAGTTATTTTTTTGCTTTTACATATGCTATAGATCCTATAAGACAATTTTGTTATTTTTGCTTTAAAGAGCCAATTATTTTTTAAAAGGCTTAGATAATACAAAAAATATCTCATACATTTACCCATGTAGTTTCCATTCCCATTGCTCCTCGTTCTTTTGTATGCATCTAGATTTCCATCTGGTCTCATTTTCCTTCTGCTTGATGGGCTTTCTCTAACATTACTTGTAGTGAAGGTCTGCTGGATTCTTTAAGTTTTCAAATTTTGCCTTCACATTTGAAATATGTTCTCACTGCATATCAAATTCTACATTGTCAGTTTTTTTCTTTTCATTCTTTTAAGATGTTCCACTGTCTTATAGCTTGCATTGTTTCTGCTATAAATCTGTTGTCGCTCTTATCTTTATTCTTCTATAGGTACTGTCTTATGTCCTGCAGCTTCTAAGGTTTTTCTATCATTGGTTTTGACTAAATTGATTATGCTGTACCTTGGCGTGATTTTCCTTATTTTTTTTGTTCTTCAAGTTTATTGAGCTTCTTAGATTGCATTACATTTTATTAATTAAATTGAATTAAATATCAGTCATTATTTCTTCAAAGATTTTCCTTCCTTCACTCCACTTCTCCTTTGGAGACTGCAATGACATGCACTTAAAGTTGTCCAGGGCTCCCTGTTATTAATTTAATTTTTATAAGCTTTTTTTTCCCTCTGTGTATTTCATTTTTGACAGTTTCTTTTAATGTGTCTAGAGTTTATTCAGTTATATTCAGTAATATCTAATTTACTGTTAATCCTATCCAGTGCACTTTTCATTTTAGACATTACAGTTTTCATCTATGGTAGTTTGATTTGGATGTTTTCTTCATTTCCATATCGCAACATTTTAAACATCTTAGATACAGTTAGGATAATTTTTTTTAAAGAGAGGGAGAGAGTGCGAGCAGGGGAGAGGGACAGAGAGAGAGAGAGAGAGAATCTCAAGCAGGCTATGTACCCAGTGTGGAGCCCAATGGGGGGATTGATCCCAAGACCCTGGGATCATAACCTGAGCCGAAATCAAGAGTCAGACATTCAACCAACTAAGCCACCCACATACCCCTGGATAACTAGTTTAATGTCCTTGTTTGCTAATTTCAATATCTGTGTCACTTCCACACTTGTTTTGGTTGGTTGATTATTCTACTTATTATGGATCATAATTTCCTACTTCTTTAATTCCTGGTAGTCTTTTATTTGATGCCAGACATTGCAAATTTTATTTTTGTGTGTGTGTGTGCTGGATATTCCTGTATTTTTATAAGTATTCTTGAGCTTTGTTCCGGGAATAAGTTAAATCACCTGCAAAAAGCTTCATTGTCTTAAATCTTGCTTTTAAAATGAGACAAACTCAGTATTTAGTCTAGGCCAATTGCTTGCCCCACACTGAGAAAAGATCTTCTTAGTGTTGCACCCAATGTCCCATGACTGGGTGGTAAGAATAGGCAATAACCCCAGCCCTTAGTTAGTGCCAGCCACTGTTCCCTCTATTCCTCTTGGATGAGTATTTTCTTATATTTATGTGCCAATCAGCTCCCTACTACATATGTGAGAGGTGTCCTCAAGATATCCGGAGATCCCTCTCTCTGTAACTCTCTCTTTTCCAGTATTTTGCCATGTAAACTATAACCACCATATTCTCCCAGGACTTTCAACTCATCTCAACTCAACAAGTCCACCATATTTCATTTTGATCCTCTGTGGGGGACCGGGGCCCGGTGCCAGGCTGAGACCGGGTCGAGCAATGTTCCCCGTTGACTCAAGCCAACCCGGTGGTTCCCCCTCCCATTCCCCCACTTTCAAGGGCATACGAAAGCCTTGTCAAGGCTGAGAGAGTTAATTCCTGAAGCCTGTGGTCTGCAGGTGTTGGCAGTAATGCTACCTCCCTTTTTCTACCCCGAGTCAGATA